CGTCACTTTCTTTGAGCCATTACCGGAAAGTTGGTGAGCGCAATACAGAATGTAGGTATATTAGTAAATTACCCTTCCACTTGAGTTGTCACCCTGAAAAATCATCGAGGATGAAGGCAATACAGAAAATTTTAAGAATGGCTGATTTTGGACCATCTGCTGTGATTGACTGATTGTGATGACGTGCCGCACGCGATGACAGGCTCTGACGTTGCATTTGGGCTCTCGCTCTTTCTCTCCTAACTTTGAGACTCCCCATCCGTTTCCGTATTGCAGGGTGGCTTGCCGATAATTCTAAGCTCGTTATATTCCACACCTCTTTCTTCTCTCCTGATTTCCTTCTTTATCTTAGTAAGACTGCTTACTGGCGAGGAGAGACAACACAAGGAGAAGAAAAGAATGCAGGCATGCTGAAGGTGGCGAAAATTATGTCATATATTTTGACGGCGCCTGCTCGGTTGTATCAATAACAACAACAACAACAACAACAACAACAACAACAACAACAACAACAACAACAACAACAACAACAACAACAACAACAATAACAATAATAATAATAATAATAATAATATTATATAATAATAATAATAATAATAATAATAATAATAATAATAATAATAATAATAATAATAATAATAATAATAATAATAATAATAATAATAATAATGGAGTACATAGAGTGTCCCAAAACCATGATACGATCATGAGGTTTCCGCCGCGGTGGCATAGCGCACGCGCTTCTCGGTTGCATATACGCTGGTCGTGTGTGATGCCGGCCGCCGCTGTCGCCGTCCGACGGAAGCAATATGGTAGAGACCCGTGTACTGGGCGTTGTCAGTGCACATTGAAGAACACTGGATGGTCGACATTTCCAGAGTCACGGCGTCTCTCATGGCCATATCGCCGTAGTGGAGGGCTCCGAAAGTCTAGACCCTTCGGGCTTCTTTAACTGGACCTAAATATAATTGCACGTGCCTCAAGCGTTCTCGCCTTCATTGAAAATTCGACCGTCGCGGCCGGGATTCGATTCCGCGACTTTCAGGTCAGAAGTAAAAAAAAAACCGTAGCCACTAATCTACCACAGTGAATTGCTCGAGTCTCGTGAAACTTGGTGGGTAAAATTTATTTAGAACCCCCATATTTAAAGCAGCACGTTTTTGGCATAGAGTTTCTCAATATTAACTAGAGGGCACTCTGGCGCTGCGATCGTTCAGCGACCATGGGAACGGTGGGTAGTACACACATTTGCCTAGTCTTCGTACTTGCGGGCGGCGAATCGTACTTGCGGCTCCGTTTATTGCTGTGTTTCGATTTTGTTTCGAAAGAAAGATTCAACCCTTTTGAACTTCGTGACCCCATCTGGAAAGGTAATTTGGAAAAAAAAATAGGGTGGTCAAGCGCAATCGCTGCATTTGCTGATTTTTGTTTCGTGAGAAAACAGCTTCAAGCCACACGAACACACACGGAGCCAAAAGCAGTCCAGAAGTACGAAGTTTAGACAAATGTGTGTACTACCCATCATTTCCATGCTCGCTGAAGCGCCGTGCATTGCAGCTCCCATAGACACTAGCGCCAGAGTTACCTCTAGTGTATATTGGGAAACTCTATGGTTCTTGGAACCCTTGCGAAGCCACAATGACTCAGACATAATTAGTACGTTGAAGTTAGCGATGGCAGTATGACATCACTGATTGTGCACTGATTGTGCACTGATGGTGCAGCACATTTGTGCAGTTCGTTGAAGTTGTGACTATGAGAAGTGATAGACAATCGTTTCTGTTTGTGTGTGTGGTCTAGGCTTTGAGTTGTTATACTTTGCTAGAAGTTATTTTTTACTTCTCATTTATGCATCTCTAAAGAAAAAAAGAACTCCTCAATTTACAAAATTGACGCGAGATTTGCTATATTTTAATGCACCGAACCAATACAGTTTCGAGATGCTCGCTGAGCACCCGGTTTCTACGCCTGTGATCAATACGGGTGATCGATCATTTTTGTGTGGGTTGTAAATAACGCGCTGGCATGAACATGTTTCCTTAGCCACCTTGTGTTTTTCGCCGGAGTTCAGATCGATGCAAGCTACGCAAAATTGCTGCTTCCCGGAACTCTTTATAAATTAAAAATTTATCTGATACTTGGAAAAATTTATCATTTCAATAAGGTTAAAACCATTAGGTAGTTTAATGACTTATGTCATTCATGGAGTTGCGAAATCAATAATAAATTCTGCGATAAAAAGGCGCAATTGATGAGGCGTGAGCTCCGGAAAGCGTCACGCTCTCTGTTGTGGAGGTTTGAATGCGCAACCTACTTTGAGATACTTTCCCAAAGAACCGTAATTGTAAGTATTGTTATAGTGAGCTCATGAAAATAAAAATGAACTGCGTGAGCAAGTACTTGGTTCAACAACAGTGAAGATATGCCATTTTCAGCTCTGCTTTTCTTCGCCGCATCAATCTAATAGGAGTTTTTCTAGGCCACTACTAAAGTACCTGTCTTAGTTTTTTTTTTTCTACTCTGAGGCATCGTCGAAACCCACAGGCTGATAGCCACAGCACCTATAGTGTTTTTATAAACTCCTATTACTTAATACTATTGTTGGTTCTGGGTATCATTCTGGTATTGGGGTCCAAAGGTTGGGCTGTAGTTCCCATCAACCACTGGGCTCGACGGTCGTCTGCAATGCTCGTACTCTGAGTGTGATGTCATGTGTCGGGGTATGCCTTCCGTTCCCTTCCCTTCTCCTTGCCGTATTTTTCTACTTTTTTCACCAATTTGAATCTTCTCTCCTTCTAACTCTCTCTGTTTTTCAAGCTGGCGTGCATGGTGTTCCTTGTTGAAGACTGTTGGTAGCCCTGAAGTCTCCATACCGTCGGAAAAAGTACAGTATTCTTTTGATCTGTGCCGCTTCCTCCTCTCCCCGCGGGAGCTTCTTGTCTCTTCGGGTGGATGCGGCGAAGAACTGGTTTTCGCCGCTCGGCGCCGTGTTGGATGCGCCAAAGCGCCTCCGTGTTGCTTGTTCGCCGCATGCAAAGTGCAGGACGTGTGAGAACATTTCTCTCAAAAGTGGTTGATGTTTCGAATTTCATGATTATCGCGGCTCTTCTCAAGTGCAGCCCGTGTCTGCAACAGCGTGGACGTCGCGTGTGCTCCTTACGAAATGAACCGCTGGCACTTGCAAAAAAAAAAATGCTTTGTTGCAATACATATGACAATGTGCCGAACTTTCTCATTGATTTGAGGTGATACAGTGCCTCGTGTTCAGATAATACATCGCTAGAAATGGGCGAGCTGTAATTTTGACAGTGATGACGCGACTGCGTTTTTCGACCTCTACATCACAGCACCATCTTGGTCATCTAGCGATTCAAAATAGTTTCCGTGTGCAAGAACGACCTTTATCGCCTGCACTATCTGCAACGCCCATGAAGACATGTAAAACCTCAAGAAAATGGTTGCAAATTGCGCTGCAGAGGACAGACAGCTCAGAATGGCGTTTTGCGTGCACAAGTCATTGGATAGGTAGAGAAGAAGGATCATGTGGAACGTCACGAAGTTCTGAGCGAGCACTTTCATGGATATTGTTGACATTGGTGCAGTTCTAAAATACCGAGATAGTTTTTACCCACGGGAACTATTCCTTCCCAAACGGCGTGGCTAAAGACACCACAGCTGCGATTTAAATATTTCTTACCGGTTTAAGAATTAGCGTACCGAGTTTTACTTAATTTAATTTTAACCTGTTCTCAATAAACCCAGCTACGTGTATCAGCGCCAGATACGCAAGGAAACACTACGCTGCGAAAAAGAAGTTTAAACGACGTTCGATTCGCTACAACTTGTGCATGACTTGCAGCAGCTCTTCTACCATAATATTGCGACACGGTACGCTATCACACGAGCACTTCCGACGAGTTGCGCAACCGATGTGGCGGACTCACCACATCCGATGTCGATGTGGCTCACCATCAACAATACTGATGGTGAGCGCACCCAGTCTTGCTGAGAAAATCAACGCGGAAAAATCATTACATAAAGCCGAATGCGAGGCACGGCACACGGCTGCGCAGTAGCGGCTGTAACTAATGCAGCAGTGGCGGCGCGCCACCGGCTCTAATGCAAACTGCAAACTCGTGGCGCGTTACAGGGGGTGCCACTCTCGCAAGCGAAAGAAAAAAAAAAGCAACGCGCTGGAGAGAAGGCGGCGAGGGGGAAAGCAGATGGCGGTACTTTTACGAAGTATAGGGGCTTTAGGTAGCCCACCAATTTTTTCTTGATTGTGTTGATTAACATGTACACGTGATAATCAGCAACTGATTTGTATACCACACATTGAGTTTCGCAAGGTTAGAGTTTTACAACCTCACCCAAATTTTTTCTATAGTGCCAGTAAGATAGGTGTTGTACGGTCGAGTTGGAAGCATTTTACAGCCTGCAGAGCCGGAGTTGATCTATATGTCTAACCATTTTTTGCACTATGTACAGTTCACTTTTGCAGGAGGATGTTAACGAGCCTTAAGCGCCTTCTATCGCTCTTGTTTCCGTAGCCCTCCGTAGCCCTCCCCTACGGTGACTCTTATAATCATATAGTGGTTTTGGGACGTTAAACCCCACATACCATCATCATCGGTCTCGTTTTCAAGGGGGTGCGCTGAGCGTTCTTTTCTCAAAAAAAGTCTAGCCCACTGCAGTTCTTCTTTATTTTGTTGTTTCTATATGTCGACGTTAATATGAACGGCTAACCTATACACTCTTAATGAACTTTGTGCAAGCTTGCAGTTTTACAATCTTACTGTTTTATGGTGCAAGCACGATATGCTTTGTACGGACGAAGTGGAAAAACTCTAAACCTGGAAGGCTACGGTAACTTATAGCATGTCTGTAAGTACCCTCCCCCCTTTTTTTTATCATGCTTCGTACCAGTTCACCTTTGTGGGAGAAGATGAATGACGCTTGACCATACCTCTCTTTCCGTCTCTCTGTTTTTCGAGCAGCAGCAGCGGCCTTCGTCGTCGGCCAGCGTCCGTGGCGTGCTGAGCCTGGATCAGGAGGTTGGCTTGAGCGACGCCCTGCTCCTCGAGCCGCCCACCGAAGAGGCCTTCATTGCCAACCTGCATCAGCGATTCAAGAGGGACCTCATATACGTACGTAGTATATCGTGTATACACTCTGACGACGGAGGCCGAGTTCTCATTTCAGACAGCATCGTAGACAGTGTGCGCTGACAGCCTTGAAGATTGCACCGATTTTCAGCCGTCGCAGTAATGAAATGCGTCTGAATGACGTCTGCGTGACGAGGCAAAAGAAAGCGCAGTAAAAATCTTGCTAATTTAACCCCATTCCCAGCTGTCGAAATTTATCAGAAACTGAACGTGGTTTAAATTTGGCGCTAAAAAAGAAGCATCTATCTTTGGAGGAACGACCGCACCGGCGAGTCCGCCGCTGCAGTGTCATGGTGCTCGGCTGCTCACCAGAAGGTCACGGGTTGGATCCCGGCCGTGGCAGTCGCATTATGCTGGAGGTGAAATGGAAGAAGCCCGGCTACTGTGCAACGTCAGTTCACGTTAAAGAACACCAGGTGCCGCTTTTGACGACTTCGGGAGATGAGAATGACACTTAATGTCCGCTCTGCTGTCTATTTAGCCATTCGCGGTGATTATCGGAACACACCTAGAGAGAAAAAGAAAGCTTCAATATTGAAAGCCAGCAAAAATAAGAACAAACGAACGTTGTGACTATGTTCGGCTACATTGGATAACACTTACTGCCAATTAATTAGCCAATACTAACAATTAAGTAGTAACACTGGTTCAAAGTTTTCTTCAGTTGGGCAAAATTAGCATTTGTTCAGTTATCTGGGACCAACATTTGCCACCGTTAGGGCCGTTCCACGCGCTAGCCGCACAGACGCAACGCACGTGCCACGACCCCTGCCGCACGCAAGCGGGAGACAAATAAGCCGCTTGGCGACTCTCTTTTACCCTCTACTTGGTGGCGACAGGTGTGTTGGCACGTGTGTTGTGGCTGTGCGGCTAGCGCATATAACGGCCCTTAGCTTATATTACCAAATGCTAAATAATGCTGATGGTAAGCGAGAAAATAGAGTAATTGAGTTCGGACAGAAATATTCAGAATATGTGTCAAAGAAGGTGTAGAAGATATTGCCTTCGAAGCGATGCTATAGTCGTTCTTAACCTTCGTACAAGCTTTTGCTATTGTTCAGCTTGTCATGCTAGCTCCGAATATTTCACAATATTTTCTCTTTTTATTGTGATAATAATTTTATATGGAGACTCTCGGCTGGTTTTTGCCTCGGCCGCCGCCGCAGTCATTCACGCATTATATATATATATATATATATATATATATATATATATATATATATATATATATATATATGCGGATTCGCTATCGCCTTCCCAGCCGGGGTCGTCTGCGCACGCGCTTATCTCGTGAGCGAACAAGGGGGCGGAGAGGGCGGCAGCGCTTATGGTTGTCGCGCTATCGCGGCAACGATCAGCCCACAGCATGCGGGAGCTTCTACGGGCGGCGCCATGAACACACACACACACACACACACACACACACACACACACACACACCACACGCACACGCACACGCACACACACACACACACACTGTTAAAAGTGTACCTCGAGCGGCTGTTCACATATAGATGCGCTCTATACATAACAAACTGCTACCAGTGGCGACACACGACCCTTAGTACCAGTATGCGCTGCGCACGGGAGGCGCTCCTCATCAACGCCGTCACTACGCACGAGCCACTATGGCCGCGCCGCAGGAAACTTGGTTACTTAACAAGCACATGTTTACTACAATTAATATTGCTTCTAAGCCTTGTTACGTAAATCATTCGAATATTTTGCTATCGCATTCATTGCTTCGCCCTTTTGGTGAAACTGTGATTTATTTATGATTCAGCGATGGGACGGAAGATTTTCGCTTACTGAGGGTTTTGTGTGGAAACCACTCTGTAATAATTAGCATCAACAAGACATCAATTATGTCAGACACCGACCCATTTCTTTAGGATGCTATACCGCTCAAACTGAACACTTATTGTTTCTTCTACAAACAAGGTATAGCTCTGCAGTTTGTATGTAAAAAAGTACGCATGCAGTGCACCGAACTTTCCCGGAGTACCTTCGAAACAGCCAAGGAAATGGTGGGTGATGTAATAGTGCCACGCGGAAAAAGCGCGCGTGCAATGTCATTGTTTCACTCCCCGCACAATGCTTGCTCGCATTTTGCAGCGACGCTTATCGCGGCATATACGATGTCAGGCAAGTTTACGACGCTGCCTCCTTCACGTTCGCTTGTGGTTTTCCTCTGCCATATATAGGAAGCTGAATGTACCCTGGAGTAACTCTAGCCGCAGAGACCGGATACGTTTTTTGCCCCTTCCGCAATGGCCAACAGCGCTTCCTTCCGCTTGACCCGACGTCCACGAAGTGCATGCTCCTTTTGGGGTGTCTTTGTTACGCTCTCTCTGAATCGACTCTCTCATCGCCCTTTTTACTGCCTTTTCCTACAACGCTGGTATTTAGTTTTGCTGAACTGTACCCAATACGTAACCATTCTTTTTTTTTCCGCTAATGACCTTATGGTCCTGATCCGTCACACGCCTGATCGTTACTTCTTTCACTTTAATGATCAGTCAGTTCCGCGTGAGCATTCGGAACAGAATATGACTGGATAATAATGTCATCTGCTTTTTCATTAGGAGAATTTGTTGACCGGCTCACTGAAGGCACAAACGCGTTACTGAAAGCAAACAACCTTGAACGCTTGAATTTAGGGGACAGAAAAAAAGAGCCTTAGACAAAAAACTTTTCCGTCATATATCTTTTTATAACAGGCATTGATAAAGAAAGATAGGTTAAGCCACCACCATACATCTGACGGTTAAAGAACGATAACTTGAAAGTTTCGGCACTTTATTTCAGAGATGATGCCTTGGTATATTAATTTACTTTTTTTTGTCAAACCACAGGGAAGTGAAATTCTCTTTCAACAAATACTGTATGTTTAGAGTCGAATTATGCATTTTGGCACACCCTGCATATTAGACATGCATAGAAATTCATGTACATATTTATATATCCTTCCCCTTCTGCTCGAATGCCTGCAAAGCTGTTACCAGTATCAAATAAGTAAGGAAAGTAAATGATACAGCAAGTCAATGATATTTTTAGGGGTGAAGCTCCTTATCCAGTCTGCGGCGGCTGCATTTCCGATGGAGGCGGAAATGTTGTAGGCCCGTGTGCTCAGATTTGGGTGCACGTTAAAGAACCCCAGGTGGTCGAAATTTGCGGAGCCCTCCACTACGGCGTCTCTCATAACCATATGGTGGTTTTGGGACGTTAAACCCCACATATCAATCAGGGGTGAAGCTCCTTAAGGCGTTGGTCTGTCCATCCCTTGTATGTATGTACGTAGTAGTACGTAGCCACCGGGGGCACATACCTGCTCTAAAGTGGCTATGCGCCACAGGGGATGCGAGATGGGAGATGGCGGTACTTGGAGTGTTCACTAGATGAACGCATGGACGGACGGACAGACAGACAGATGGGTGGATAGACTCACGGACGGACGCATGGACAGACGGACGGACGCATGGATGGAGGCACAGATAGTCACGTGGACGGACGGAAGCAAGAACGAACGAACGGACGGAAGCAAGAACGAACAAACGGCCGGAAGCATGGACGGGCTGACAGATGCTTCGCCCCACTCATCATCATTCACTCCGTGGATATACTGTGATTTTTATTCCCATTCGGCTATAGATTTATTCCAGGCCTGCGAAATTTTCCCACATGCACCTAAATGTGTGTTGATTTAACCTTAGAAGGGGAGAAAGTTTAGCTAGTTGGTCTTTCACCGTGATTTAACGTGTAGCCTCTTTCAAATGGTATTCATAGTTGCATGCTTTGTGGTGTTTGCAGACCTACATCGGAACCGTGGTGGTCTCTGTGAATCCGTACAAGAAGCTGGCCCTCTACTGTCCGGACGTGATTCAGGCCTACGAGAAGTGCAGCATGTTTGAGCTGCCTCCGCACATGTAAGTACGAGTCGCTATTCTGAGATGTTGTCCACTGGTCCCGACCCAGCTATCGCTATGTTCATTCACTCGTAATCATTCTCTAGTACCATAACAATTAAATAATTTACAAGTGGTGGTTGTTTCATGCAAGGTATCGAGAATAATCCAGTGGGACTAAAAATTTCCCATAATGCTAGGTTAATATTTCTAGCAGTCTTTGATGCTACTTTACGTAGTTACTTCACCATGCAAATTATTTCGTAAAAGAAGAAGAGTAGCTGAAGCTATTCCTTGGTACCAATTTTTCTCGTTAAACACATCAAATAAAATAAAGATTATCGCTTGAAGTTTTCTGTTTGGCTAACTCCCACATACAGCACAGACAGTTTGCGTTACAGATATATCTTTCCTAATTATTTGCTAATTAATCTCTGGGCCATGTTTTTCCAGTGTTCATCGTGAACTATACAATTATAGTGAAATGTACTACTTTTCTTGTGTCGCGATGTGTCTTGATCAAAGTTCAGTGGGTGGCGAATATTGACGTCAAAGCAATACTTTGAACTTACTAAAAAGGTACGTGTTCATTGTTAGGTCTTTATTTTATCCCTGTTTCAGCACTCGATCGTACTCAAATATCTTGTTGCTCTGTATCATTTTTTTTACTGTATAACGCACGTCAATATCAAACCTCGGCACGCAGTAGCTATGTGGGCGTTTTTGTTAGAAAACTGCCGCAAAATTTTTCGTACGATTAAGTCAATGAATTGGCATGGCCTACAAATGTATCCTTCAAGATATAATTTTAACTCCAGGTTGCTTCCTTCACATAGCTTCTCATGTGAAATACTGCAGCTACAGTGCTCTGAACTAGATAGTTAAGAAATCAAGTATAAGGAGAGAGATAGAAAAGCCAAGGAAAGACAGGAAGACTTACCAGGCTGCACCCGGTTTGCTACTTTGCACAAGAGAAAGGGGAAATGGGAGATAAAGAGAATAGAGAAGCGAAGAAGTAAAGAGCGGGAAAATAACACGCTTACATGCATGGCAGCGTGTGCTGCACATGCCCGGAAGGTCATAGAACTACGAACAAAGAGTATTGGTTGACTCCGACTGTTTTAGATGAAGTACACGGCTAATCCATTTAAAGAAAGCGAGCGAGGACTGGCCTCTAGGCATCCTGAACCTGCAACGCGCCTCAAGTTTATGAGGTTATCAATATGTTGAGGAGGGTGTGCATATTGCTTACCAAATATCTCAACACAGCTATGACACGTAGGTATTCGTCGCGAAGATCCTTCGTAGAATCTTGAGTCGTCTCTCTGTGGACGTGCATTGTGTAAACAGTTTTAGACTCTTGTGCATCTCCCTGTTCAAAGGTCAATGATGCCTTTGCGGTAATATAACAATGAATAAATATGTCTATATTTTATGATTGTTTCTGACATGCCTGTAAGCCTGCGTTCATTTTTTTTTGTCCTCGCAGCTATGCACTAGCGGACAATGCATACACATCCTTAAAAGATCGCAATCAAGATCAGTGCGTCATCATCACTGGGGAGAGCGGCGCAGGAAAAACAGGCGAGTGTTCCCTGTTACCATTACCCGAACAATTAATTCTTGGTCTCTCTCTCTCTCTCTCTCTCTCTCTCTATTTCCTTTTTTTTTTGTTGGGTTGATGTACTTTTGTACAGATATGCAGCTTCGTTAATACAAGCGCATTGTGTGGATCACCGCGCTCCTCAATTTAAGCTGTTGAAATGGCGTCGAGAAACTTCAAACTGTTGGCAGAAGCCGCCGACACTGTGGGGTTCACATATCTGTAAACGTAATTTACTGCAACTATCCTTAAATCAAGAGCGAAATCGATAGAGATTTAGTGCGCAGTAAGTCATAGTTCATCAATGTGACATTTGGTTGCGTTCTACAAGTATTCAATGTCGTATCCTAGAAGATAATATTGTCACGAGCCGCGACGTCAACGAATGGAGCAGACTGTCGGTACAAGATGAAACTGTTCATTTGGCCGAACTTGTGGCCGGTGAACGTGCAGTCAGATTACTGCGATGCACACTGGCACTGATAGCGTCGAACTGTGCGTCGGTCGTCGATCAACTGACTAGCGGTGATGCGCGAGGGCATTTATACATGTGCCGTTCAATGTTCCAGCGCTGTCGCTAGCGTTCATGTATGTTCCAGAAAAAAATCTGTAACGTTCGCTTTGTGCGCGAAATTGCATCGGAAGGTTCTACGATTATCTCGGTGATTCGTGCCCCCGTATTCTAGAACGTCCCTCCACTCAACGCTTCACCTTCACTTGAGAAAGCCGATGGGAGCGCCATCTCTAGGCACGGCAGTTCACTGCATATCAGCGATAATCAGCTGCAATTATCGAGTAGCGCGGCGTCATTTTGAGACGATCTGTGGCGCAGTGCTCAACTCTGTTAAGTGAAGGGTGAAAGTCGAGTCGAGGAGCGTTTGTGAATGCGGGGGTTAGTCCATTGGCATGGTTTGCGCAAGGCAGCAGTAAACTGTGTAATGGGGCGATAACAAAACTTGACAAAGGCAAAACACTTCATAAACTCGACAAACTCGACAAAGACAAAACACTTCATAAAAAAAACCAGTCAAATACGTCAGGTATTGGCCGTCACCCTACTGTGTAATGGGGCGATAACAAAACTTGACAAAGGCAAAACACTTCATAAACTCGACAAACTCGACAAAGACAAAACACTTCATAAAAAAAAACCAGTCAAATACGTCAGGTATTGGCCGTCACCCCTAGTCGTTGTCTCGAATACCTTGACACACGGCATAGCGAGCTTGACTGATGATGCCTTGTTGGATGTTGTGGTCTAGGTTGCGGAGCAGAGCCTCCCCGAGGATTCTCAAGTGTGTGAAACCATTGTCCTGACACGGACATGTCCGCACCAGGGAAACCCAATTTGCTGCCTCATCACGAAATTTTCACTGGGACAGAAAAACCTCTTCGTGTCACTTGCTGTGAAGTACGGTTTTCGGGAAAACTCCCGTCTGTAACTTTCGCCGCAGAACCTTTGTCTTACTGAGCGATCTGTCCGCTCCCGGGTTTACTTACCGACAGAGCCGGCAGTGTTCTAGGATTTCATAGTATGGGTGCGTATCCTTGCTTCTTTTTGAAAGTTCAGTAACTTGGGAGGTTATGGGAGTCAACCGTTAAGTGAGAGTTCGGGTGACAGGACGTATCCTACCCGAAAAAAAAAACAATATTTAAATACGTTAGTGTTCCGCGCCGGTTTCCGGCGTGGAGCAGTAACGGAAACTGGTGGGTTTCCGAAGGGTTTCCGAAGGCTCTCTGTGCCTTATTAAATATCAAAATGAGAAGGGAGAACGGTTATGAAACATATTGATCTTCCATTCAGGGCATAACGAATAGTAACTACGCCCTTTTTGAACACTTTTTATTATTGCTTCCTTAAGTTCGCGCACAAGGTAGTGTTTTGCAGCTTTGTATGCTAGGCTATAAAGTTGGATGTCTGTTTAAGTGAATCTCGGTGTTTCTCCTGCTGTACCAAGAAGAGCATGGTTTCTGACGAGTGTATAAATGCTATCGCTGTCGTGCGCAGAGGCAAGCAAGCTGGTGATGCAGTACGTGGCGGCCGTGTCCGGCAGGGACGAAGAGGTGGGCGCCATCAAAGAGCACATATTGAGGAGCACGCCCATCCTCGAAGGTGAGTCGTGCCTCTACACGATCGGCGTTGCACCTAAGGTGTCGCAGTGAGCGCACGTTGTGCGTTGAACATGCAGGCAATTTATGCGTCGTTTCTTTGCATCTGCTGCTTGCGCAGATCCTGTTTTTACTGTGTACGCACGTGTTTACTTGTATGTACGCTCGTCTTTATGAGAACAGGTCAGAGTCGTGCGATATTAAGGTTAACAGATTGTATTGGTTGTGAAGGCTTCGACATCGAACGTCTATGTTTGACTCCGGGATAATATCGTAGTTGAATGCTTTCGTGTGTGATTCCTGCGAAACGATAGCACAGGTGTCGCTTGAGTGATACATTGTCGCACTACGCCTGGTAGCTTTTTGCACGCAGTGCTCAGACAAACAAGGGCATTCATTGTGTCACAGATGATATTAACTTGTCGTTCACCGACCGAAACGTGAGTATTATATGCGTGTGCAGGGGCCAGGGATAGGGAAGACCCCTCTACTTCCTCTAACCATCTAACGAGGACGCCAAGTGTGCTCCCGTCTTTTCTCTGTAGTTAACTGCATGAAATGCACTGGTCATGTGGTTTCGGTCATAAAAGCGGCCGAGGGTCTCTCATGATGAGTTTCATTAACTGCTTACTTTACATCTTAGGCCCCAAAAACCAAAGGCAGGTCGTTTTGAAAGCATGTCATCGCTTAATTTCTGCCTTTTGCGCTCATTGCAAAGTTCCACTGAGCACAGAACGATAGTGTGCTGGTCGTTATGTGCTCAGTGAACCGAAAGTAAGCCGAGATCCACCACATACACGCTTTGGCAGACCGCAGTGAATTATACGCTTTTCGCGACCTGAGTAACTCGCTGAAAGCAGCCTAATGATGAATAATCGATTTTTCGCCGTACTTGTGCAGCCTTCGGGAATGCCAAGACTCACCGAAACGACAACTCCTCAAGATTTGTAAGTGACTACCATTTTAAATTTGGCCGCTCTTATTTATTTATTTAGTTATTTATTTGTTTATTCATTTATTTATTTATTTATTTATTTATTGTAGTGACTGTGAACGTCCTTCTTTTTACAGGGCAAATACACTGATATTGAATTCGACTTCAAAGGGGATCCGGTCGGGGGAGTGATTACAAATTGTGAGTAAACGTATACAAGTATTTATAAATAAGGCGCGATTGTGCTGCGTTAACATTTGTTCGCTTTTCGTACACTCAGAGAAGTATTTGGCGCCGTTGGATATACGCTTGCCGTCTTGAGAGATTTAGAATATTGTGAACTCGGCAAAGAGACACAGCAAAGAGAGAAAGATGCATGACGTGAACTACATGATTAAGAATTTTCTCTCTGTCATTCTTAAACGTTATTATACAGTAATAATCTCTTTAAGGAACATTACTGCCGTTGTTATGTGTGTTCGATAGAGGTTCAGTATGCGATATAAATAGAGTAGACGCAGTTTTTGAAAAGCTTAGAATGCTCAATGCAAGTGTTCAGATAACTAATATTTAATTTGTATTTATTTCATCTTTTTCAGATCTTCTTGAAAAGGTGAGATATGCTTCTATTACTCTGTCAAAATAATTTATGACTTTGTATTGTTAAATACGAAGTGCATATAAAACTCACTATGAAATTGATGATGCCCTCCCCTCCCCCAGTGTAGAGTAGCAGGCAAGAGCAAGCTATTGCTCAGGCCGACCTCTCTGCCTTTCTGTAAATAAGAATGCCTCTCTCTCTCTCTCTCTTATGAGTTCCTTATTACATGGCTTCCAGGCAATATCACTCGAATATATGTTTTTTTTTGGCTTTTTTTATTACCATTCATTCCTTTCTTTCGTGTGGTTTGTTAATTTACAAAATAGAGATGCTACCACTCAACATCAATCTTGTTGTCTTATCTCTTCCTTAATGACAGTCCAGGGTAATCAGCCACATGCAGGGAGAGCGCAACTTCCATTTTTTCTATCAGTTGTTGAGCGGAGCCGAAGTTCACCTCTTAAGTAAGTGTGACTTGTTCCACCGAAAACAATTTCGTGATGAATTGTGTCGAGTGAATCAGTAGTGTTCAACACTGAAAACTGCGCCACATATCGTAACGATAGTGTACTATCAGCGTCAAATGAAACCCGAACAGCGCCAAGCCTTGCGATAGTGTAGTGCGTGCCGTCCAGTCATTACCACTGACAGGCGCGCATCCTGTTCAGCAGCTTTGCGCGTATAGGCGTGCCTGTTTGTAGTGATAAGTGGACGGCAAGCACTACACTATCGCAAGGCTTGGAGCTGTTTGGGTTTCATTTGACGCTGACAGTACATTCTCACGGGGTGAAACGGGACACTGACAGTTTTAGTTTGTGGACTAGAGTTACCTCATGTCACTAGGAATGTGGTCGTTTATGGTAATGTTTGCTTTTACGTAACTCGTTCGAGCCAGAACGACGCTGTTGTGACACTAACTAAAGGCGGAGCAATACGAAAGTACGTTAACTACTTAGGACCAAACTGATCGAGTTTAAAGTCGTGAGCACTGCACTTATATGGTACCAACAATACTGACGAACACACCCTGTTGGCCTAAGAAAATGAGATGTGTGACTGTGCTAACAGCACCAGAAATGGGAAAACGCGTCAATTTGTCGTGTTTCTGATCATATGCGACTGTAGTACGGCTGTTGCCATTATATGGAGCTCACTGTGCAGATAGCCAGAAGGTGAACCATTTCACCTGGCATTGTCGATGTAGTGTAAAACCACTTTCCAAAACAAATAACGGGGGAGCGTACAGTCTAGACAGTCGTTATAGCTGATGAATTACCGCGTTGGCATTGTCTAAGTAGTATTCTAAGCAACAGGGTTTGTACCCAGCTTGTTTTGTAACATAAATATAGAAATTGGAAAAAGATAAATGTGGCAACTACAACGTCCATCAATGCAATTTATTCAAGGAATGTGGCTTTCCAAATCACATTATTTTGAACTGACTCACTGGGAAGTTGTAGTTATCACTGAAAATCTAAAAGCACGTATATACTTATCACGTCTGACATACGTACAGTTATGCATTGCGTTCCGTTTACTCCTTCTGCCAGTGTCAGCTTCCCCCTTTTTGCTGCTTTTAACAAATATTTTCGAGCGTGGTTTCGTCACAGTAACTAAAAGCCTGTACTGAAGAAAAAATTCGATAAATTCTTTTTATTCCTAAGCTTCAGATAAAAGTGCCCACTTCATCCGAGTTCATTTGTCTTACAGTGTACATTATTTCTTGCGCTTTCTTATAGAAAGTCTAAAGCTGCAAAGGAACACGGAAAACTATTCCATTCTCAAGCACAGCAGATGTTCTCAATTGGAAAGTATGGATGACAGGAGTTATTTTGTTTTGACGAAGGTGAGCATGATGCAGAACTAAAAATTGATGGCACTATACTAGCACTGAGCTCAACAAAATTTACGAGAATGTTCAGTAAAAAAAAATGAGCATAACTAAACGGTAAAGCTGCAGTGTTGCTTGATGCTTAACTCGTTAAACCTCTTCACGTCCATCAATAAGCACGCACCTGTGTTCATACTACAAAGAAAAAACGATCTATTGTTCTTTGCATTCTGCTGTAGCGGAGTTCCGTACTCACTAAAATCTGTGTGCCATTTTTTAGTCAGCTTGTTCACTTGAGCGTTAGAAAACGTTAATCAGAATCGGTTACCTCGCGTAAGATGCGTTACATTGTTCACATTTCATTAGCTGCCAGTGCGTGTTATCAATCCCGAATCGGTGCGATTGTCGTGACTGTCGTTTCTCTTTTCCTTTCATTTCTGGTACGCACGCGATTCGCTCGTTCCAGAGGTCGATGGAGGCGCTGGGATTGAGCCAGTCTGAAGTGCATGCCGTGTTCCAAGTGGTTGCCGTCGTGCTCAAGTTGGGAAACGTAGAGTTTCAACCGAGGGCCAACATCGACGACACGGAAAGCTGCGCCCTCCTCAACGAGTATGGTGAGTGATGGCATCCTTGTAATTCTATGTCATCTTAGTCAATAAATGTGTTGTCTTCGAGCAGCTGCAGGTTGACAGCATTGCCTTACGCCGTAAAAGACAGATAAATTGTGACGGTGTGTGTGCGTTCCGTTGGGGCTGCCACGGGGGAGGGGAGTTGAACCCTCCATGCCCCACGAAAAATTGTTCCAATTTTGTGTTTGTATATGTGCACGCACAAATTTCTTGCCTTGCTTTTTTGTGAATCGCCGCGAGTATACCCCTAATTGGCGTCGATAAATAACCGTATTGTACATCTGAAAGACAACATGCATGCCACCCAATATAATAGTTGTCGAAAGTGCTTGATTGTAATAATCAGAAAATACCGGCCACTTCCAATGTCAAACGAAAATAAAATATCCGGAAAGAAACTTGTTGGGGATGTCGTGAATTGAGCAAATTCTTTGAATATGACGAAGATGAACGTGTCAAGATAACGCTTGGGTCATGACCTGGCAACAGACCAAATCGAGGTAATAAAATGTGGGCTACGCACTCGTACGACGTGAAATAACAGCTAGTTATTTCACGTCGTACGATGAAACGCTCAAAGTAATCAAAATTCTGCTTGGTATTGTCACCAGATTCTGTTCCGCATTCAAAAACAAATGGTAAGCTGCCACGCTGAAACCTCAAACTCTCCAACTGCCTCTCTTTGCCGCTTTATTTCTCTGCTGCAGAGTTGTACGAAGTTTGCGAGTTGCTCCGCGTGGACTTTGCATTCCTCCATTCTGCCTTGACCCAGAAGATGGTGGAGACGAGGCACGACGTGGCCGTCACCGACCTCTCAGCCAATGAAGTGAGTTTTTCGTTGTCGCCTTTTTTCAGCCTTCATGTTGTTATTGCAGAGCCACGATGAAGTACCCTGCGTAATATTCTGGAACTTGACTTTAAAAGTATCTTTCGTAATATTGTGGAACTCGACGTTAAAAGAACCCTGCGTAATATTGTGGAACTTGAGCTTAATAAGCTAGGTAGGCACATAAGCATAGCTTTACAACGCAGACGCCGTCGTAGGGCTTGGGCCGGTGTCGTCCGCGTTCACAACATCGCGTAACGGGTATGTGTCACAAAAGTTGGGCGAGCCCTACTTCGGACCTCCATTCAACCAGTAATGATGCTCTCTATAACTATACCCTCTCTGGTATGTGCCAAGCACTTATAAGATCATAGTTGTGCATAGCACCCTATAGCAAAGGGCTGAGGAAGGGAACTGGTGGGAGGAGGAAGGAAGGACAGGTCAAGACTTGCAGATCCTTTCGACGGAAAACAATTCTTTGCGTTTGCGTGGCTTGAATGGCATAAAAAAAAGCTAGGTTAAAAGTTCAAGCATTCCTAGCCTTGATCAAGCTTTGCTAAACTACGTTCTTTACTGCCAAAATTTCCTAACTTTGCACGGTTTTGTTAAGGCTTCACCTTATCTCCACTGGTGATTATTATTTACCGTAATAGAGATACGTCGTTGTTTTTTTCTTTTACCATCTGAGAGTTTCTCTCAGTTCTCGTTATCACCGTTTGGTTTACCGGTTAGGCACACACTTTCAGGTAATTGCAAACTAGTTGAACCACGTGCCGACGTCTCTTTGTACTGTGTTAGGCTTTGTTCTTGCTATCGGATCACGCCTAGGCATGCCATAATATCCATCTCAAAGCGCGAATACGCCTGTGGGCCTAGTAATCGCTAGTTTCCAATGGATAACTAACGCACGAGTTTGATGCCCTTAATCTTGAGCTTATTTGCCGATAAATTGAGTGTAATCAGTTTACTGCAACAGTGCAACATCAATGCATTCATAGACTAGAGAAGACTTGTATTTACTATGCAACACATTCGAAAAAGCCCCCCCCCCCCCCTTTACCTCTAAAAAAAAAAAGGTGTTCAGGCCGCCTGAAAACATACAGGCAGCGTGGATGGTCAATTCATCATCGTCATCCACACTGCCTCAAACACGAACCATTCATTCTGAGCGTATCTCATTCTGCTCGTATCTCATTCTGTCTACTTTCAGGCCACATATTCCAAGAATGCCTTATGCAAAGCTTTGTACAGCCGCCTATTCACGTGGTTAGTAAGCCGGATAAATGATAGCATACGGGTAAGTAGCAGCTTTTCATGTTACTTATCATCGTCTGAAGGGCAAGCCAAAGATCTCGCTTCTCCATTCGTCACCAGGCGAAGCGCCTCGGAAAAAGAAAATGTCTCGGAATCCTGGACATTTACGGATTTGAAGTTCTAGAGGTAACATCTGCCTTCGCATCTCTGGTTGAAGTCGTGTTTTGGTCTCTTTCCTCCACCGTTACGTTGCATCGCACGTTCTACGAGCTTTACTGTGAACAATTTCTGTTTTGTGTCCGTCTACTAAATATACAGCTGAATCTCGATATAGCGTACACAGATGTAACGGAAGTTTTAAACATAACGAAGCAAACGTATTATAGTCCACAGGTGTGCACTTATGAGGCAACACACTACGAATTGCCAACTTACCAAAGAATCAGCACGGTATAATGTGAAACGTTTCTCGCCAGTAGCGTATAACAAACGCCCATAACAAATACTCAAAATATTTAAAGTATTCTCGCGCGAAACTCAACTTCGTTTTAACTATGTTCGACTGTACTTCGATTTCTGTATTTTTTGTGTGGCCTGTTTAGCATGTGTCACGCGTCTACCACTTGCCTTGCGTGTATCATGTTCTTCATTATAGTGGCATATAGAAGCTGACGCGCCAAACAACATCTCCAGCAGAGATGTGCAGTTTTCGTTAGTAACTTTCTCTCTCTCTCTCTCTCTCTCTCTACTACGCAGAAAAACAGCTTTGAACAGTTCGTTATAAATTATTGCAACGAGAAGATTGAGCAACTCTTCATTGTGCTTACGCTCAAACAAGAACAGGAAGAGTACGTACGTGAGGTAGGTGAGATTTTGATGCCTCGTCCCGGATCTCTGCCATGCATCCATGCTGTTGCTTGGCGCCACAACGTACTAATGCATCACTTCTTTCGTTCCAGGGTATTCAATGGGAGCACATAGACTACTTTAATAATGCAATAATCTGTGACCTCATTGAAAAGGTACGTCAGCTACAACTACATCGCAGCCAATTTTTGCAACTTGTAATTCCGCGTTTATTTTTTGTTTCTTCCTTTGCTTAAGATTAGACCATTCTCCCGCATATTGATTAAAAAGGTATTATTAGTCAATAACCTGATTCATATTAGTACAATTACATAAAAACACTGACGATATGACCACAACAAGTATATACGTGGAATAGCGCAAAAAACGAGTAACGCTTCGTTGCTATGGCGCCGCCAGTATCTCACTGAACAAAGTTCGAACAAATACTGTTTTCTGTATCACCTGTGAGCGATGTTCCAGCTTTAAGACTGAAAAATGCTGTGGCTGCATTTCATTTTAATAGACTCGCATGCAAAAGTGCGGAAGGTGTCAGTGGCCCGTTCATTTTCTTTCGTTAGGAAGGGCTGCCGCTAATTTACAAAAGGTTCCCCGAAAAAAAAAAAAAACGACGACTGCTTTAGATTTTGGTACCTCAAGTGATTCACTCTTCATGTTTGGCAGACTGTGATGCACCAGAAGTTTTTACTTCCGAATCTTAAGATTTTCGCCTCCCATCAAACGCTAGTGGTGTCACTGACCCGTTCTTCCTCCACACGAAAGGACGCCGCTAGTGCATTGATAGTTCGACCATGGACTCTGGTTTCCACGGGGGATCCGTTTGAGTCTTTCGGCTCAAACGCATCAAACGAAGATTGGCCGGAAATAGCGAGCTTCCGGTCATAAAATTTACACCGTAGTGCATGGCAGTGGTATCTAGATGTATAGTCTTAAAAAGGGGGAGAAAACTTGACAAAATGCTTGCAACCACACACCGAAAGTTAGCAACGGCAGGTTTTTTTTTTTCTTTTCAAGATTGTCTTTTCGTTCTCCAGAATAACCACGGCATCCTGGCGATGCTGGATGAAGAGTGCCTTCGACCGGGGCCCGCCACTGACGAGAGCTTTCTGTACAAGCTGACCAAGGTGTGCCAAGACAGCCCTTACTTCGAGAGCAAGGGATGCAAAAACCTCACGGGTGCCGCCGCCGACGTCTCGCTGCCGCCACAGTGCTTCCGTCTTAGGCATTACGCCGGTGCTGTGAGTTGCTTTGTCTTACAATGTGTGGTCTTTATATATATATATATATATATATATATATATATATATATATATATATATATATATATATATATATATATATATATATATATATATATATATATATATATATATAGCCGAGAGGCAATATCATTATATCACTTGCACTATTCTTGTTCTTCCGTTCTAGGTTACCTATTCTGTTGTTGGTTTTATTGATAAAAACAATGATCATCTCTACCGTGACCTGTCTCAAGCCATGTACAGTTGCGATCATTCCCTGATGAAGGTTCTGTTTCCTGAAGGTAAGCTCAATTGCTGCAGCGGCAGGGATTTTTTTCATCGTTCTCTTGACCTCAGATAGCATTGAACGACGAACGCTGACCTACGCTCTTGGTTTCCTGAATTTACTCGCATACTACAATCATTAGTTAGAATTGGATAATTCTGGCTAGAGCTGCCTAAGAAATGTCTCATATCGGCTAGCTCCATTTGAATGCACGTGCGTCAATGAAATATCTAACGTCTTTAAGTGTCTAAAGCTGACGCCTCAGTAAACTTAAAGACCTCCACAGTATAATATCGTGCTTTTACAACGGAAAGCTTGTTAATGTAGTCTTTGCGTCCCCCCTCCCTTCATTTATCTTGTTGATGTGACGCATCCGCAATCAACGGGACTCTGTATTCGCCTTCGCGCTCGCAGGGAACCCGAAGCGCACGACGCTGAAGCGTCCAACAACGACTGCCACACAGTTCAAGATTTCCATTGGAGCACTTGTGAAAAATTTGCAAGCGAAAACGCCAAACTACGTACGCTGCATCAAGGCAAGTGTCCACGCGATTTCGCTCGCCAAATTAACCGCTTGGGTTTAGCGGCTGTTGCATAGCTGTGCTGCGCGTGATAGTGTGAGATCAATATCCGGCCACGGCAGCCGCACCTAGATAGCGCGATATGTAAAAACGCCCGTCTGCTTAGATTTGGGTGCACGTATCGGAACCCATAGTGGCAAGAAAAATAAGAGAGAGAATTAAATGGGGGAAAGGCAGAGGTTAACCAGAAATTGAAGCATCCTGTTTGCTACCCTGCACTAAGGGAAGGGAGGGGGGGGGGGTAAACAACAAGAAGGAAAGGGAGGGAGGTTAACCAGGCACATGCCCGGTTTGCTACCCTACGCGGGGGGAATAGGAAAGGGACATAAAGATGAGAGAGAGAGAGGAAAGAGAAGAAAAAGAGAGAGAGAGAAAGAGAAAGAGAGAGAGAGAAAAGGAGGATTGTCAGTCAATCGGCTGGCGCGTATGCAGCGGTGGCACTACACAAAAGTTAAAGGTGCTCACAGAGGTCTGTAGACCTCAAAAAGCACAAGACAGCTTTGACTGCTTTTTGAGCCGACGAAAGGCGATGACGGTGTTCCAGTAGCATCTGCACAGAGAGTGGCCGATCGTCTAATTGTCGCATTGCATCCGAAAGCTTCTGTCTTTCAGAAGCTTGCTTCTAAGGGAAGGGAGAATGAAGAATAAAGATGGGAAAGAAAGCGAAGAGCGAAACCGGCCGAAAAATAAAGTGCGCCTCATAAACATGCATGTCGGTGTTTTGATGCGTAAACAGCTGGTGTTTATATAGTTTGTAATTCTGAGAAATGTTTCTATGAAAGGTGGAGGAATAATAGCGATATATTTTATATAACCTTTGTTTAAAGCACGCTTTCAGTTATGAGTACGTATTAAAACGCATTTTGTTGCAGTTTGCTCTATTTCTCGAATATCTGTTGCAGCCAAATGAACTCAAGCAGCCGATGATCTTCGAGATGGCACTGGTTCAGCATCAAGTCCGTTATCTCGGGTAATGTTTAATTTCCTATACTCGTGTGCTGTATTCAATTATTGCGTTTAGTCTTACGACGTGATAACGACATCAAATAGCAGTCCACTTGAATTCGCTCTGATTATATTCTACATAAAGCAGAGAAATTGTAGCGGATTAATGTGCTCTTGCGTTCCTCTTAGGAAGTTGTGAGTAGTTTACGTCAAAGCTTAACACTTGTCACCTAACAACATTTCATTCGGTTTTTCGCTCCAACTACATCGAGAAAGGGTTGACAGTGGCACCATTAACGAGTTCTTAGACGCAGCTAAAACCATCAGTCTATGAGGACATGTACGACGTTGTCATCAATATGACAATTTATCCGGTGTTATCTTGCGTTGCAGAACAAAGAAAGAGTGAGATATATGGAAAGGTAATAAATAAGACGATGCTAAAGGCTGCGAGCGCACCTGAATAATATAAATGATGTTTCCTGTCACTCAGTGTTTTTTGGTGGCGGCAGTCACTCCTGTCGTCAACTGACTAGCGTCTCCAGGCAGAAGTGATTTAATCGGCTGAAACGGTCGTGGTAAGCTTTGGGCCACGGCCATTCGAAACACCGGATAGGTGAATTGAGCACTCTCGTTGTGCCTTTAATAAAGTTGTTTCTCTCTTTCTTCCTTCCCGCACTGTGGAAAGTGTGAGAAAATACAGAAAAGTTAAAAGGGAAGTTAGAAAAAAATGGAAAAGGTGAGATAGAAAGAGAGCGAGTAGCTAAAAAAACACGATTGTAAAAAAAAAAAAAAGCTCCAGTGCGCCACAGTTGTAGAAAGAGACAGCTTCATCCCAAAAAGCTTAATCAGTGTGCGTCTTCTTCGCACTCTGATCGCATAATTTGGAACTAGAAAACTGCTTGTTCTGAAAGTAGGCTGGTCATCGATTCATGATAACACTGATGAAAACAAATGTCAATAAATATTTGTAGGCAATGCAGCGACTTAAGACCTGTGTTCAGTTTGAAGTGCGCAAGCAAAATCTTCTAATGTGACACTTTTCATGGTGTAAGATATCGTATGTGGCGTGAGATACAGTATATATTTTACACCATGGCATCTTCTAAGCCCTCCCCTCCCACCGTCTTGTCTAACACGTGTTTTTTTTGTTTGTTTGCCCCCACCCGCAGACTGTTGGAGAACCTGAGGGTGCGTCGCGCGGGGTTCGCCTTCAGGCAGGACTACGTGGCATTTCTGGAGCGCTACAAGCTGCTCAGCGTTCGCACCTGGCCTCAGTGGACGGGCCTGCCCATCGACGGAGTCACGCTCCTGCTCCGAGATCTGCCAATCCACCCGTCCGAGTACGTCTTCGGCCGGACCAAGATATTTATCAAGAGCCACCGTACGGTGTGTATATACAGCTGCGGTCATTTTGGTTGTAGCGAGAGAGAAACGAAAAGAAGCCAAGAGAAAAGACCTGGAACGTAACCAGGGCGGCCTGCTCTAGAAGAGACCGAGTGCTAAAAATTAGTGACAAAAAAGAGAGAAAGAGAAAGCTAGCCAATAAAAGTACCAAGTGGACCCATAAAGTGATTTGTCCTTAAAACATGCGCAAGTATGCAGGTTCTGTAACAGTGTGCTAGAAAATCAAGATAGCCAATTTTGATTTATTAAAAATCAATGAAATTTGACCATTTTATCAATAACATTCTTGTTGTAAGTTAGATAGAAATTTGCTGCAGTATGCACGAGGCCAATGTCATTCAAAAGTCCCGAAACTTTGTTTTCACAACACTGTGCAAAGGGCGGACTTACGATTTTCGCATGATTGTCTCGCATTGCATAAAAATGTTCGAGAATTTACCCACAATGATTGACTGACAATTTGAACGATGCGCTGCTAGATATGGTGACGTGTGTTCGAGGCACGGTAATTACGGTCTCATTTCAATGCGTGCAAAATGCACAGACAGCGATATACTTATTTCGGTCATGGTAACAAACAACATGATTCCGAGCTTATGTAGATCCGTCTACTATGGCGCATACCTTCGTATTGTCACGTACCATCCACTGATTCTTTCATATTGTCATGACAATCCCCGAACGTAAAAGTTGAAGGATGGAAGCTTTCAGCAATAAGCAATGGGGTGTGCTACACCATACACTTTTCTTATACAACTAAATATCACAACGTATCTCAAGTAAATATATCTCAACTAAACAAACTACGGGAGCGAGTTCATTGACGTGTGCATTAGGGGAAGCCCTGGCGAGAAGATAAAGAAGATAAAGACCGCCGAAGCTTGAATCTTGAGCTGACGTGGATTTATCGGGATACGTCCGACGTGCCGCGGGGCCATCCGAGAGATTTGCGAGTAAGAACGACGCTGCAGACAGTGTGATGAACATAAGGTTCGGAGCGCAGATAATCCTCGCTGGAATTAAAGGCACCGCCCGTGATATCCGAGGCTGTCTGCGGCTTCCTTGTCCCTTCAAGTAGGCTGCTACAAGAAAAGGCGCCTTGCTTTTGGGCCTGATATGTTGCGCCAATAAGACTGTGTCATCGGCAGGTACGGTCTGGGTGTATCACGTGCTGTAGACAGTGCTCAGCTTTGTCTGAAATAGATGAACTAATGGTATGTATCATGTTTCCCTTCTGTGGAGCCAGCAGGTTTATTAGTAGCAGAATGAGGGCAGCCATTCGAAGACGACCAAAGCTAAGCCGCTGAGGTTGTTTTCAACGTGAAAATAAAAATTACATGGATGTCAAAGTTTTCTTCTATTTACTTTTTCTTTTGTAAAAAGAAAAGTAAGTTTTTTTTTTCTTTTGTAAAAAAAGTTTCGTGCGCTGCGAAGACAAGCTATCTGAGCCACTAAGCACCCACCTAAGTTTCCACCCATCATGGCAGCTTAGCAGGTAAGGTATCAGGCAACTCAGTTCGAGGCCATGGGTTCGAACCTCAGTCACGGTGAATAAATTCTGTTGAGGAGAATTGCGAAAGCACCCGTGCACTTAAATTTATTTGTACTTTAAGAAATCTCAAGTGGTCCTAATTATTTCATAGACTCCCAATACGGCGTCTCTTGTGATCATATTCTGGTTTTGACAAGTAAAACATCGGAAATGATCATCCAAGTTTCAATCCTTTTTCGTTTCTCTAAAGCAGCCTAGGCCGTAATGGAGTCCAGGTTGCTGCTCATTTCGTGAATAGCCACATTTCATTTTGGTTGTCACTGCGTTTGTCATTGCGCTACAGTTCTGGTTCAAAACTTGCATAACGACGTATTTTATTAAAGACAATTAGTCGGCGGCCTGGGTCTAAGAGATCCTATTTCGCGTCTGGAAACTATTTTGCAGAAGCTATTCATTTCACGTGTTTGCTTCGATACCGATTCACTTCCAGGACAAGCACTGTGCTTAAGCTGTGATTCGCGAAAACATCCAATTGCACTAGTCTTCTTCTTTGTGAAGATTGCAACGGGTGTTTTCGTTTTCTGTGCTATTCGAGCGCAACTAATACTTAACGAACTCAAATTTAAATTCCGAACTCAGTTAAGGAATGTATTTGTTTGGCTATATAACCCACAATAACTACTCTAATTCTCAGCATCAGTCACTGATAATAATAATTATTATATTAGATGCAATTTTCAATAGTATGAAATAAATCTTGCGTCGCGTTTTTTTTTTTTCATTCCGCCTAATGTTATATAATCTACCTTTACGTAGCACAGATGCGTGTCTACCAAACCTCAACAGCAACCACGCATTACAGAAAATCTGACGCTCGGGCCACTTTTTGTGTTTCTGGACACCGCCGGTGCCGTGAACTGGAGCGTAATCGTAGGCAGTCAAGTTTATTGCTGATCTTAGACCCGCCGGACAAATCTATCGGCGTGACACGCAAGCATCTCGCCTGCGAAAGCGGAGTTTGACTTCGTCGCATAGCTGTGGTTGCTAGCCGCACCTAGACGCATCACTGCTGCCTAAATGCGAACATATGCGGTAACTTTGGTGTGCCCGGATCCTTGGCGCCATCTCGCGAACGTAGACCGCATGCCGTGGCCCTTTAGGCGCATAATATTCACGGTATGGGAAAATCGCGAACTGCTAACGACTCTTGGCGCCACCTCGCGAACGTGGACTGTGCTATTGGCACCTTCCTTCAATTGTCGAGAGGTGGCGCGAGCACTGCTTGAAGTGGTAATGGTGGTTCACGGGAGACGGGGGCTCTCCGTAGTAGTGCCACGGAACGCGAGGCTCTAGACAGTGCGAAATAAAAAGTGTAAACTCGATACGCGTTTTTGCGAAGGAGAACCTCTCGATCGGGATGGTTTACTCGCCACCACGGGTCGCTTCGTCCGTCTGCGCCATGGTGAGTGCTTGATTTGGGGGTGGCGCTTTTTGTAAACTACCGCAACATGCGCGTCCATCACCCGCAAGACATTTCTTCAGTCTCTTTTTTCTTATGCCTTTCTCTTGGCACAATACTTGTTGCTAAGAGCTTAGGCAAGACCAAACCCGATTTCTAAATATCAAGTAGAATAAAGACAATGCTGGTGTATTTTTCGTCAAATCGCATCAATATCTTTTTTGTCACTTGTCGGTCGATTCCACTTAACTAAATAAGCTCACATATGCTGGTAATACACGGGATTGCTACGCATATGTTTGCGAGTGGAGTGGGAAGCGAATAAGAGGCGTAACCTAAATTGACTATAGAATATTTTGTTAGGAAGCTAACCTTTATGGGAACCAAAACTGAAATTTTGGGTACTATCTATTCGGCTACCTGTCTTTGAATATGAGGTTTAATTAGACGACCAACTGGAACCTCAACAGTTCCGCATCCGACTCGCTCAGCAGGTGTACATCCTTAAAAGTAATCAATCGTTTGCTGTGTGGCGACCATTGCGAACTTGTTATTTGCGTCTGCAAAAGCGTTAACCCATCTCTGAATATCTATCGGACACCTTTTATGCATTGTCACGCAAGCCTCTTGCTACAATTTAAATAGTTGAAGCTCGTAAGCTTACTTCATTGGACATCGACCTATTGTGACACCAATATGCACTTTCAGATAAAGCGGTGCTCATCGTAACTTCTTTCCTTCTATTTATCTTTTCACCTTGTTCCCAATCGGATGGTAGCAAACCGGAAACACGTACGTTGATGTCTTAGGCTTTTCTTTTCTCCGCCTCTCTACCTGCAAACAAAATTTCAGAACTACAGCATTGCCTGTAGAGCGTGCTTTGCCACACTAATACTCGTACTGAAAAAAAGCCAAGTTTACAGGGTGATGTGCTTTCCCGGAGATCTGGCATTGTCGTGTGTACTTCTCAAAAGACCTTTTGCGTTTCATACAACTTGATTATGTATAGAAAGTGAATGTTCCTCAATGTTCATAAACAACTGTAATTCGTTAAGAAATCTGAAAGAGGAGAGCAGAGAAACTTATAATCACGGGTGTGTTTCTCGCGTTTATAAAAATGTCTATTTGGTACTTTTTGAGTTGTAGAAAGCATTTAATTGGCCGCCGTTCTACCCTGTAACAAGCGCAAACCGATATTTACTAATCGTGTCATTTTGTTACATATGTATTGCCGTATAACTTCACGAGTTTACTCGTTGTTAACGTTCACCACCTGGCGAACTTTCCGGAACAACGTATGTTCGTGTTTGCAGGTTTGCGAACTGGAGGAATTTCGGCGCGAACGGTTGAGCGAACTGGCCGTCCTCATCCAGAAGACCTGGAGAGGATACGTCATGAGGGAGAGGTTTCTGCGCATGCGCGAAAGTCAAGTCATTCTTTCAAGCAACTACAAGTGCTGGAAGGTGAGTCCTTGAGTGTATCTCCAGGCGCGCTGCAGCACGGCACTGTGTTCGTGGCACGACGGTCTGATGCTTGATTCTGTAACAGAACAAAAGGCGCGCACACAGAAGCACAAGACCTTAACTCTTTGTTCTCGTGTTTCGTACGCTTTACGTTATTTCTGATTTTTGTTTTTGTTTTGTTTCCTCTCTGTCGATAGGCTCGTCGTGAGTTCTTGCGTAAGCGGCAAGCGGCGACCACCATTGCTGCCTATTATAGAGGATGGAAGGTTGTATGCTGATAATAATAGTTTCCCCTTGTTCGCTTTATGTCGTATCACTTTTGTTGTTTCGTGTGCACTTGCTGCGTAATGGAGCAATCATTTTCACACTTGCAAAAGAACACGCAGAAACTGGCGCTTCGGTATGCTTAACTTTGCCACTACTATCAAAGGTTTTCTGTGCTATTTCCTTAAACCACGTAATGCCTTACTACGTAGTTTCGTGGTTTAATCTTTCTGCAAGTGTTCTACCAGTGAACTTGGTCCAATGAAGTACTTGTCAACCTGATCTTATCGGATCTTGCGGTTGGTTAGTCGTCACTGAAAACGCATAAGCATCGCTGCTTGAAAGGTTTCCAAATTAAATTTCTCTTTACTTTTCGTTTAATTCGAAGCATAATATGTAACGTGCACAGACGTTTTCACAAAACCTTGAATGAAGTTGTGTGAGCACATGATATAAAAAAATCTAGCTAAACTGTAAAATTAAATGCAGTCGTTGTAATCTACAGCTTGGTGCAGTGTTCGTGAGCCTTTCTGCAGAAATTTGTGCATGATTACTGTCTTGCTTTGTAGCCACAAGTGATCATATAGTTTCTGTTCATTTTCCAATTTCTTAAGTTATTTTGACACCTGTTTTGTTCTAGGCGAGGCAAGAGTTCGAGCGCCGGAAAAATCTCGTGGTAATTTCTGAATTTTTTGTTCCTTTTTTTGTGTCGATTTCATTTGGTTTGCGATATTTTATTTGTTTGTGCTTACGTTATAAAGTATTATTTCCTTTGTTGTGTGTTTGTAATAGTGCTCTTCGTTTATTACCACTATTTCCTTCAGGATACTTTCTGAAATATTACAATTTTTGAAAAGGGGGACGTATGCTTATAGCACACGAAAGTCGTGCCACGAAGGGACGTGCTCTGTGCCCGTGTTTGGTTTGGTGTTATGAAGAAATACAAAAAAACAGCTTTTGACTAAAACTTGCCCTGAATGGTGTGGAATCACAGAGAGAAAAGCGTGGATACAAAAATTACAATTCCCACATTCTTGCGAAATCCAACTTAACAGTACTTTGTGTTCAAAATCCGAAACTAATCGCCCGATACGTCACGCAACTTTACAACCCGCAGCAAAAAGCTGGTTACGTTTTGTTTGCGTAGCGCAAGACATCTTTTTATTGGCGCTTCTGTAAAGATTTTTTCCAGAAACGTGAAAGTTAAGAAGATGCAGAATAGTTTTTTTTTTTCCTTAAGGGGTATTGCCTTATACGATGGCTATGGTCATGTCCTTTCTTTCATCAATTTAATACTATCGAAGTATTCTGTACGCCTAATGAACAACAATTTTTTTATACTAGATCACTAAAAGCAGGAAATTTGAAGTTTTCTAAGCTGTGAATTTGAAGTAGCGAATGAAGAGGCGTACTACTCAAGTTGATTATGTATTATGAAGTTTATCTAGCTTACGAGAAGGGCCGCGATACTTCTGAAGTGACCAACAGATGGTTAATCAGAACCTTCCCGCACTTCTCGTGAGGTTTTACATGGTCAACATGAATTATTACCATTATGTCTTACTATGACAACGTTAGATGATTGCTCAAAGCTTAATGATCTTCATTCTAGACTCTTATTCAATGGAAATTTTGACACATTTACTTTTGCGAAGTGTATTTCAGAGTGTTGATAGGCTTTTTTGTGTGTGATTGGCTGCTTTTGTCAATTCTCTGCGTTACTAAAATGCGCACTGGTTGGTATATTGCGAGCACTGTACTAACGCACTCACCTAAACAATATAAACTTGATTTGGGCAATTTGATGCGGTATAAGGTGGCTTGTAGTTAGTGCTGCTTTTCGTAAAGACTGCATGACCAACCTATTCGAAGCAACCATAATAGAGTTCAGCTTGATTACAATATGTTGCCTAATTATAATGTTGAATTAGCCGTCTCGACGCTTACACGAGAGAGAACACGGTATTGCCCGGCTACACGCGTAGCTGCGAGATGGCTTCGTCCTGCAGCGTATCGACAATGGCAATTTTAATGAGGAGGACACCTAATCAGCTGTGTAGTTCGAGGTTGTGGCAATTGCTATACGACACTTTATTGTTTCGTGGGACAGCAGTATATTGCGCTCACTAAGCGGCACCACACGTACACACATACACTAAACAATCACTTTTTCTACCGCACATTCTCGGCACATTCATTACACATAACTTTTCATTTAATCTTTGCTAGGCTACCGATGGCTATGTAATGCGCAAGTTTCAAGGTGCACCATGCGAAGCCGCTCACTTCACACCTGATCACCTGCTCCTCGCGCTGTGCTTTGCGTTGCTGCTCGGGCTTCTTTGTTTGTTTTTCGGTGCACTTGTCTTGCTTCGAAGCACACTGCACTCTCGACGGCTGCACACAAACGTGTGATGACGTATCTTTCATACCTTGCGGAGTGCAGTAGCCGCTGTAGCACGCACCTGCTTGCAGCAGCTGTTTTGCACGAGTCGAGTAAGTTGCAACGGGACTGCGAGGAAAGCGGGGTGTAACTAGCGGGGTTGCATGCTTTCGTTGTTGCTTGGTTTTGTGCGCGTGACTGGCGTGTCAGTGTGCATCGCCGTGAATCAGCAGTGAGGTGGGGTTCTGTTCTGTGTGTATGTGTGTGCATGATGGACGTTTGAAGACGAGGGAGGAGTTCCACGGCGTCAGGCAGGCGAGGAAGCGGGAGTGTGCGGCGCGTGTCCTGGGCAGGTCCTACCGCCTCTATAAGGTGAGCGGCTCCGAGAGAAAAAAAAACAAACAAAACCGCCACCTGCGCGACTGTGAAACCTACCTGTAGAGTCTGGTTTTTTCCAATAGTGATGCCCTCCAACAGGCATGACGGCTGGGCCCAGCATGCTGCCTTGCATGGCCACTCGCTCGCAACTGGCCGACTAAGTCGAGATGGTTATTGCTTGCCTGCCTTCGCCCTTATGCTTCCTGTAACAATTGCTTAAACACCAAGGAAGGTTTTCTCTATTATTTAATGGCCTTTAATATGGAGTAAGAGGTATCTTGCGAGTTTTGTTAAATGCGTGATCTCGAAAACATAACTCGTGGGCTAATTGATCACTGGTAGGCGAGAAAATGACAGCGAAGTGTTTGTAGCTACGTGCAACGCTAGTTAGGACGTCCTAGTGCCTTTACTTTCGTAAGGATGTCCAAAGTTTTCGCTTGATACTTTGAAAGAGCGAAGTAGGGCGTACCGGTTAGCCTTGCTGGCGCCAGTACTGGCGACTTCTCACTCAGACTACACATGCATACACATAGAAACTGCAGCCAGTACGAACTCATTATTCTGCGTAATCCTCAGTGAGTACTCGTACTATCTCAAACTCTATAGATACTCGAAGACTACAAGATTGTTGAATCGCATTTACACAAACCTTTGATTAAAAAAAAACACCGAGCAGAAACATTGTTCCAGCGCTTGTCACTTACTTGTAGACACACCTCCGTGTGACAACACCTGGAAAAAATCATCGATGTATAGCTGTAACAATTATGCAAGTCGCTTATAATGAAGTAACTTCGCCTTCTATATTTACGCCTTGTTCCCCCTCACTGTGTTCAGTCTCTTACCGTCGGAATAATTTGTTATATAAACTAAGACACAACCATGAAATTGCATTGGATGCATGCGCTTTGCACTGTAACACCAGCTTGTTCAAATATCAGAGGTCTAACAAAAAAGGTTACTTTAGTTTTTTAGCAGTTAGTTCATGTGTAAACAGAAACGTTAACAAACCATTCTAAGTTGTTTGTTATGTTTTATTATACATAAGCATAATAGCGGTGTATGACGAGGGAACAAAAATAATCCTATTAGGATATTTTGTTTACTCGCTAGAGAAAAGGCCATTCATGCATTAAATGATAACTCCATGCTACGTGAAGGCCACATCGTGTTCTCCTATCGTTTTCAGTCTCATAGCTTTGCTCTCACAGCGTGCCCTAACACGCTCCACATCTCGCAGTACTTCGCCGAGAGTGAAATGCGCGTCTATATTTGGTTGATACAGAAAGAAATAGAGCGGGAGATAGGTAGAGAACGGGATAGAAAGGAAGGAAAAGCAAGTGAAAAATGAAGAGAGATAAAAAAATAATGACGGAGGAACAAAGTTAGAAAGAGAAATGAACAAATTGAAATAAGCTGAGAAAAAACACTTAGAAGAAACAGGTAGAAGAGGATAGAAGCAATGCATAGACGAACAAAAGAAAGAGAAAGTGTGCAAAGTTTATCGAAACAGCAATACCAGGTCTTCGAAGGTGCTTATTACCTTCGCAGTTTCTTTAGCATTGCACCCCATGGTACAAGCTGTGCTAGTTTTTTTTTTTTGCCTTATACATATGCGAACTTATATAGTTAATCAGGTTGATACGTGTGTAATTTAGGTGTAACAGCCTTGCAGGTAGAAAAAAATTAAATGAACTTATTGTGTACTGAAATCAGGAATTGAATTAAAGACGATGTGCAGCTTAATAATGACGCCGGCGCAGGCGTCAGAAGCTTTTGCACAGTTCCTTCAAATTATCTGATCGTTGTTATTGCAGGTGTCACTTTCAATATAGCGAGCCTGAAAACAACATATTCATAGTGATCGATGTAATAAGGCGAGTTCATTTTGGGCAGCGACTTTGGCATACAAATGATTCGGCGTAATGGTTTGCCGCAGTTGTGAAGAATTTGCTTCGCTGCTTTCCTGTCGGTAATCGGAAGTTGTAGTAATTATGCCCGTCAGTCAAATGTTAAATGACTTCTTTCTTTTTTTGTGCATGACTATTTGCATGCGTTACATTCTGTGTGGAGGCTATTATTTTCCCATTTCAGAGTTTTTTTAATTGGTTTTTCCTCCAGTGGCTCCGAAAGTTCATGAATATGCTGATATACTTAACACCGCTTGCAGAACGTTAAGTACCCATGCTTTCACTAGGAAAGAAATGTTTACGAAGCTGCAAATTATGCAATTTTTTTATTACAGGTCAACAAAATGCATAGATATTGAAACAAACAGCTTCAGGTGACGTCTAAATTATTGAAGCTAAGACAAATGAAACTGTCAGGAGGTTGTTTACAGGGCATGCGCACGTTTCACGTGCGAGGCTCATCGACCGAGCTCTCATTGGTCGCTCCCCCTTGGTGATGTTGTTCGTCCCCATTGGCGATCGCAGCGCCGGCGGTACCTGTTGTGGCTGGCGCGCAACTTGCCATCTGACTCGCCGGCGGACCGCTCGTGGCCCCCGGCGCCTCGGTTCCTGTTGCAGACCAGCCACCTGCTGAGGAAGTTGCATCACAAATGGAGGGTATGCTACGCACGACCGTATTGACCATTCTTTAAGAAGGCACCCGCATCTGTAGTCACGCACCGGCTTCTTTGGCATCACTTTACAATAACAATTGATACAAGCAAAGACAAGAAAATAAGCAGACATATAACTTCCACAGTTAAAAAAGACTTTAGAAAAATAGTGCTTTGAAGTGGTTCACAATATGAAAACGCACTTGTCTACATTCTTGCTAAACTGTAAGTAATTTCTTTTTCTATCTTTTTTTTTCAAGTGGGTTGGCACGGTGGACCTATCAGGAGAGAATCATTGGCCTGCTTTCTTTCTATAAAATTGAGGTGTTTTTAAATATTTAAATGAGTAACACCAAGAAAAAGTGTTCTATATACAAGGCGTCGAAATTTTCTGTGAATTTGTATGAATATTATGTGTGATCAAAGTAAAATTATCATTAGGAGATGTACATAACCATGCAGTGTACTACAGTTAGGATTTTTAGACACCCTGTAAAATTAGGGTATGTACGAAGATTTACACTAAGACATATTAATTGGTCGGGAACCGGTGCAAAATACTACAATAGTTTTATATTTGTGCACTTTCGGCTATCGTATGGCAGATATTTATGCTAAAAGTCAAATTATGAAGCAGTGCAATAAAGTTGATAACAGGGCTGGTTGGTGATCAATCATTTTGCCGTAAGGTTAAGTAGGGAAGAGGTCAGACTCTGGAGCTTTGCAGACACGTAGCGCCACCTGTCAAGTCCCTTTTGGGTAGTGCGAAGCTCGACTCCCTTGCACAGTTTGCTGAGCAACCAGGTGTAACTAGCGTGGGCGAAATAATGATTGAGCTAAATAGTAGGTGTGTGTGTGTGTGTGTATTTAACACTCTGAAAAAGAGCTGGGAATTTCTCCCCGCTTGTCGGTCGCGTCACCGAACCACCATGACGTGTTTGCTGGTTCACTCGCCAGAATGACGGTGGCAACACGAGCAGACGCAACAGCTCCACGTTCAACGTAAAAAGACCTCAGCCAACGCTACTGTTGCGTTGTGAATTGCCACAAACGTAAAAAAAAACTTTAGTTTTACCCATTTCTATAGCTGTCGCGAAGCAGAAAGGCGAGAGCGCTGGATACGGGCCATTGCGAACCTGCCGGGCAAGCGAATTACTCGCGTTTTCCACAGCCTGGCGCACGAGAAAGTGTGATAATGTAGGTCTCCGGTTATTGTTTAGAGTAGACTCGACGAAGAACCGTGATAACTTTGATTATGAAGCTCAACAGAGCAACAATAAACATCGCAGAAGCCGGGAACACTAATAATCGTAGATGGTTGCCACCGCACAGCATCGTGAACATAGGCTTTAAAGCTCTAAGTTACGTCTTTTTAGCAAATATTAACACGTACGTTGTACAGGTAAATCGCAAAATGTTGGTCGTGACCACAATCACTTTTTTATTACCGTTGGTCGCCGCTATTGCTGGGGCTATCGTGCAAGCCTCGATTTCACCTTTCGTTGTACACCGAGAAAGTGCACACGCATGTATTCCCATTTGCGAAATATACAAACGGAAGACAACCGTCAACAGAACATTCTAGGACGCGTAATAAAAATGTTCAACGCACATGACGCGAGAGATGGGTGGAGAATGCAACTGTGAAGGCGAAAACTGCCGGGACCATTCCTGCGGGGTCAATGCGAGCTTCCTACCACTGATCGTGTATGCACTTCATCGCTTTGGCAACATGTGTATTCCCATAATTACGCATTTAGGCGTTACAAAACGCACGTCGAAGTGCTTGCCTCGAATTCGACGTTATCCGGTGCTCACTTGATCTTAAATTACGAGTTGCAGCTCGCCGAAATAACTGAACATTTTTTTTGCATTGTACCCGGCAGTGCGCTTTGATAAGCTTCCTAGTTTTTTGAAGCGAGGTTGGATTGACGGAAGAAGCTTGCCAGGTCCTTGATTATCAGAAAACCGCGCCCCAAAAGCAACGAAAGAAAAGGGCATATGCGCGTTCACTTGCAGACGGCTCTCCTTGCACTACCCAATCATGGCCAGTGCGGTGATGAGGGTGCTGGCGGCGGCGTTTTTCGCGGCGCCGCCTGAGCAGAGTCTGACGTCTATTTCAGTACACCTGCATACAATGTTTCCTGCATACACTTATACAACGAATGTCCTAAATGGCCACTCAAGCAGTTTTCCCGCTTCCTCTCTGTTCTGCAAGGTCAAAATGTTTTTTGTAGTGTTAGCTACACTGGCCTCGCTGAGCCAATTTCGCGTGGCACTGGTCTGCGCATGCGCAACGATACTCCGCCGCCGCCGCCGGTGTACGCAATTCGATGCGCTGCGCAGACGATCAGTGTTGTCACGCACCGGAGCCGGCACCTCCCTCGCACTCGGCCGCGGCCGCGCGCGACTCGCCGCCGCTGGTGTGCGCTTTCCAGAAAAGTGCCGTCATAGCCTTGGTAGACATATGGACGCCGACGCGCACGCCTTCCCTGTGCAGTCGCCATCTGACACTGTGCTGGAGCCACTTGATAGCGCCTCTGACTGGCGTTTGCCGCTGTGGTATAGCCATGGAGAAGGAGAGTGCAAATGCTGCTCAATGGTGCAGCAGAGCGGAGAAGCTTAACTCATAGGATGTCGAAGTAGTTGCCCGGCAAAATAAATATACGTGTGTCATTGCAGCAGCAGTAAGCATGATAATCAAGCTAATCCTAGACACTCTGGAAAGCTAAAAATAATCAGCTGAACCTTTGCTAACGCTACGTTTATCCTGGCAAAGCTGAGCTAAGCCACTGCCATTTTTTATTTACGTTTACGCTTGTCCTGGAGAGCTCGTGTCTTGTGAATGCGATTATTACGTTGACTGTTGATGTCGTACGTTGTGAAGTACATAAATGTTGGCGCGCTTCATTTCAGTGCACAAGGTACAAGCAGAAACTCGATCAAACTGCTCGAAATCGCATGCGCGAGAAAATGACTGCCAGCATCATCTTCAAAGACAACAAGGCCTCCTATCCGAAGAGGTAAGTGATGCTGATGCGTTTTATTTCACACCCTTCCTCTTAAACTGCGTGTCCCTTCCAACTAACGTCATAGCACCTAATGCCGAATGCTACAAACTTCAATTCCACATGTATTCAAGGGCTTAAATTTGATTGGCGGGCAAGGATGGCAGGCGAACCTCAAACACTAAGACTACATGTGAATGAAAAAAAAACTCAATGCAATGCATTAGTCCCACATTTTGGCGTTTACATATCACCGTTCATTATTGCCCTGAAGTTGCCTTGAGCACTGCGATGAAAAGATGTGGATCCTGGGTACTTGTTTTGGCTTCCTGCCACATTATATGAACACGAACTCAGCGTCTGCCTGACATGCATTTGCACGCTGTAGATAAAGTGTAATTGTGGCTGCTGTATTGGCTGGGTCGTGCATGCTACAGCCAAGGTTTTTACGTCGTTACAAGCTGCCACATGCATGAATGCATGTTGCGACGTAAAACGAGTAGCTTACCATTCACTTTTAGTGCATTCACCCAGCCGTAATTTGAAACAGCCATTTTGTAAGGGTAAGCATTGTTTCTACGTAGTTCAGGGCAATGATGGCCGCAGTATCTCCGTAAATGTGATAAGCGAAATGTTTATTTAGATGGTATGATTCAGTGTTATTTTTCACAAAACTGCATCGGTCATCTTGTCTAAACGGTGGTTCCATGAACAACCACTCTTTAACGATTTATCATTACGGATATACTTATCATTATAGGAACGTTTCGGGTTCCTGCTCATCTTGCACTTTGCGCAGAAGCAATAGTCGTTTTTTTTGTTATTCATTTCAGCGTGTCCCATCCGTTCCGGGGTGACTATGTACGGCTGCGCCAGAACGTGAAGTGGAAACGGCTATCGGACGAAACGGGGGACCAGTACATCGTCTTCGCGGACATCATCAGCAAGATAACCAGATCTAGTGGCAAGGTGAGTTTCGCAGTGACAGCACGGGTTGAAACAGGCTCAGCCCTGACCACTTTACCGTCGTCATCTCACGTCAGCAGCATACTTAAATAAGATTAACACGACTGAAAGGACACACGCATGCACGAACAAACACTGATATTCCTTCCCGTGTCACGTATTTCAGCTATTAATGTATAGGTACTCCCTACAGCTGCTTGACAAATTATTTCTAATTTAGAAGCCACAATAAAAATCAGCACACAAAAAATATTCGACAATTTGTTTGATGTTGTTACTACAGAAATCCTTTCGACAGCTGTTTTAAGGTTTATTCAGAGCTGCGGGTTACCCTGGTCGCACGACCATTTACGATCGCTGACCAAAAAGCGACTTTGTTCGACCAACGCTCGCAACTGCGGGTGACTGACAACCGTTGACGCACAGAATCAAAGATTTCACGTCTGCTAGCATTGCTATTGCCTCGTAGAAAAATAAAGTTGACGTCCTGCTTCTGCGCATCTTATTGGTTCATATGTTTGCGACTGCTATATCAAGCTGCGAGCGATTCAGACAAAGCAGTCGATTTGACGCCGAAGTGGCCATTTGCGACCAGTCGCCCAATGACTATACCTGGGTCACGCGGCTGGTAGTAGTCGTAAGCGTGAACGAGCCTCTAGGTGATGCATATTGGTGCCTTCTTCCCGTTTACTCGCTCGTGAAAGGTTACGGTGCATGACCCCCAAAATCGAGAGGCTCCCTTTAGTCTGTCTTGCGCCCAGTACCAATCTCGGAAGAAAGCACTCCTCATTAAGATGTTGCCTGATGTCCTAATAGCTACGCACAACGTCACTTCCGCGATTAGTTCCGGCACTGTGCCGCACACCTACCAGAGCTAATCGCGGAGGCCACAGGCGCAATACTTCAGTGCCACTAGTGTGTATAGCTGCTATGTGATAGACACCGACATACATTCATCCATTTCCTTGACCTCTACATAGTAATCTTGCCTTTGTGTAAAATAGGTTGATGCTTTAATCTACTGCTCTTTACAAGAGATCTTTGTTGACCCATTCAAGCTAAAGCCCGTTATCCATGCGTGCAGTGCGTGCAGACTCTGTTCGTGGTGAGCACCAATGCGATGCTGATCATGGACCAGCGGACCTTGCAGATCAAGTACCGCATTCCAGTGACCGACATTTACAGGATATCTCTCAGTCCTTTCCTGGACGACATCGCCGTCTTTCATATACGCACGGTAATATTGCACGAACGCAGATTTTTATTTCGTTCCTTCATTGTTTTTAGTGCGTTTTCGTTGAGGTGTCCTTCGCGGCATAGAATGTAATCTATGACTAACATTTGTTTGTTCATATTACGTGTGAGCGTGTGATGCTTTACAGCGTTCCGGTATAACTATCAGGAACCACAATATACAGAGTCTTGACAAACTCTTTTTTTTCTATTTCTTGACAAGTGGTCCAACGTAAAAAACTGAATAAAATGTAGTTTTTTTTAATATTCACCAATCTCATTAACTCGTGTGTAGATGCAGGTAAGGAGAGCTAGAATTTCGGAAATTATGTGCCCGCCAAACTATTATTGCCTAAAGGACTGAAATGTACTTACTCCTATCAATAAATAATCGTCTAAGGCAATTAGTTTTCAACTTCGACGTCTTAGGTTCAACGCGACATTCGATCATACATCGGGAACAAATCAGGGCAAAGATGTTCTGTAAATTATTTAAATTCCTTGGCGTCTGCCCCGAAAGTGAATTTGAAGTATTGCATTATAGTAATGCACTTGAATATTGCAATATATCGTGACGCGAAAAATGTGATACCACTTCTATCAAGACGTTTTTTTTTGTGTGTGTGTTCGAGAGGGATTTTTTTCAGTTTCTTTGCTGTCACAGGACGACATTTTTTGGTCACTAACCTGTAGTGTTTTTGTAGAAAAAGATAAAAAAAACGAGTGTCCTAACTTCATAACCAATGAAAACCAGCAGATAATGAATCCAAGGCAGCTATAGGAGATGTTCGTGGTACTGTTTTAAGTGTACCGTAGTAACTGTAATTTATATGTGTAATAACATACAAACAGTAAAATTGACATCACCTACACCTTTTTTGGTTTTATTATCTGCTGGTTTCATTAAGGTGGTGTTAAACGAAGAAACGGACTCTCTAAATTCCCTGCCTTCATTAACTCTACAATGTTACTCCATAACACGTGCTCTAAACAAGTGACGTTCCCGAATACAATACAGAACTGCTTGACCAACCGTTGTCTTTGGCGTTGACAGACTGAAGCGACAAGAAAGAAAGGGGATTTCATCTTCGAAACTGGCCACGTCATCGAGATCGTGACCAAGCTCTTTCTCGTCATTCAAAACGCCACCGGGAAAACGCCGGAAGTCAACTTCTCGACAGAGTAAGTGCTGCCAACCATACAGTTTCATATTAGTACACCAGATGAGAATCTGTATAGCTAGCGTCTGTGGAAGGCGCCGCGCAAACGCACCGGCCAGCGTGCGAGTGGCGGGTATTGCATGAATCTGCCTTAACTTTGTTCCTATATGATTCTGTGTGGCCCACAGCCACCTTATTGCAAGATGAAGTTCAGCGAAAGTTCCAGCAGTTGCACTGCTGCATCACCTTACTTTTTGTTTTAGGCTAATTCAAATCGGCTCACGAAGCATTCATTTATCCAAAGCCAAAGCCAAAACAATCGTAAACAAAGCCACAAGTGTATTCGAAGCCGCAGGATGACGTCACATGCCGATGTCTTCGCATGACATCGTCCCTCGCTCAAGGTGTGACAGTCCCGGAGGCAGTGCTCTCGCGCCGAAGGAAGGGGGGGTCAATACAATCGACGAAGGAGAAAAATAAGAAAGCTTTTGTCTATGGATCCCTCATGGATTCGCCTAACTAAACGAATTCATAAAGAACCCTGTGAGTTTTATTGCTTTGCCAAACAAACAATAGCGAAATACGTAACCTAGGGATCTGGTCATATTCCTAGTTGCTGCTGTGCTGCTCTTCTATCGCGCTCCGACTATCGTGTACAACAGAATCGGCCAGTCGAGTGGGGCCGATAATAAGAAAAAAATTATTACGCCATGCAGGCTCGTACTTCTTTTTGCATTGTGACAGCAGATGAAAGCGTGAGTGTGGGACTTTTATTTGGGCGGGGTAAATTGCTGAGCATTGTTATGTTCGTGGTATACCACCGAGAAATTTTGAAATCAGCTCACAGTCAACATGGTTGACGTAACGCACGATGGCTGCAGCACTTACGAAAATACATGTGACGTCGCAAATTTTGCCAATGTGCAACGTCATGATGACACCATTGCATGATCGTGATTTTTGCATCCTTCCATCAGCTATATGCGTTTAGCGTTTGATGACGAATCTAAAGCTTTCGTCGCGAATAACAGGCGATGCGTATACTTGCTCTGTCCCTTGTCGCAGGTTCGAGGTGAACTTCGGCAAGGACACAGGGGTGCTCGCGTTCCGCTGCACTTCGATGGGCGACTCACCACCCGGGGCAGATCAGGATCTACCGCAAGGGAAACCGGATGGAAGTGTTGTTATGAGGATGACTTTCTTAGGGCACTTTTTTCCAATTGCACATCGAGAGCCCCCTCGCCAGCATAGGAGAGGAAAGGCCGAGGACGTGAAGAACTCTCCATGCACAGAAAGAACGTCGCTGTTCCGCTCTTCTGCCTTCGCGCTGCGTAAGCAGAGGGTTTGATGCTTTCGTTCCGGCGGGGCTCCACCGTTCCCTCTTTGCGTTCGGCCACGAAAGAAGAATGACGAACAAAACTACTGCCTTTCGAGAGCTGCCAAATATTCCTACGTGGCTGTCGCCACACGCAGTTTTACTTTCTTTTAACGGGACTAGAGGTGTGTATGTAGGTACGTCTTTTGGCCTGAAGTGGCGGGACTTGAGGCTTTTTCGTGTCATACGAAAAGTTCAAAGAACGCGCGACACGCTTCTCTTCCTTTTTTTTTTTTTGAAAAATGGGACCGAGAGATGCAGCTGGGATGATTGGTGCTTTCGGGATAATGATTTCGGAAGCGCCATTTTTCTGTGAGACCGTGACGCAATCAAGAAGAAGGGTTTCCATATACGTTTCTTTTAATAAGGCTTGCTAAAGCTGTCTGCACTTTCAGATTTTTTTTCTTGATTTGAATAGACATTTCTGTATCTTAAAAACAATTTCGTTCAATCCTCTTACACAGTTCTTTAATTGGCGTGTTTCCGATTTTAAACGACCACTCTGCACATTGATGTATGCCTAAATAAGTAGTGTAAAAGACTAAAAGCCGCCCTCTACATTCAAAGAATGCAAATGTTTATAAAAAAATTGGACGCTTTGAAAGATTAATATTTACGAACATTGGAGTGTTGCTGGAACTAACGGCTGGAAAAATCTTATTGTCTTCGGCAAAATAGAAGCAATGTCTTTGATATGTCCTTGCAATGTTCTGCAATGTCCTGCGATATTCTTCCAGGAGAGAGTATCACTTCTCGAAACGTTAGCTACGGTGACACGCCATGTTCAAGAATATTACTCTCAGTCATGTTGGTGCTCACGCTAAATAAGTTCTCGTATCGTAAATATTTTGCATCTTTCAAATTATTGCAAACTGTCTTGCCAGCCCCGTAAACAATGATATTGTTCTTAACGGCGACACTTTGTGCACGAACTTTGACGAATTATGCAGTGACGTCAAAGTTGTCAAAACGTGATGCCAAAGGTAGTGCCACAGACTTTCATAAAACTTGGGGGGGGGGGGGGGAGGGGGGGCGGAGGGCTTCTTTTTTTTTCCCCCTTGGAGCATCCATGCAGCTTCGGCAGAAAAGCAAGGCTGTAAGAAGTGTCGACGCGTATGAGTAAAAAAAAAAAAAAGGTGTCATTTTTGTTACCCAGCGATGTTGTGTTTCCGAGTCATAGGATAGAGACGGCTTTGGTTACAGTGGGGATCTGTTCCATTTGCAAACGGTGCCAAAGTTTTTGGCGTTTGAAATACCAGTGCTGTTTCAGGAAACGCCTTTTTGAAAACCATTTCGCTTCTTTCACGAGCAGTTCTTTTTAACTAGCGACTTGTATAACGTTTGTTAGTTCACCCATTGATCGTCATATTTCTTGATACATTGTTAATTTCACTCATAAGTACTAGGGCATATATTTTCCTGCGCGAAATACGGGCCATTCGGGTTGTTTACGACGTGTTTCCCTGAGCGTTAGGCTCTGGACACACCATTTCTATGAATTTTTTGTAGAAGGTACTTGTTGCTTCTTGTCGCCAACCTACTCTATGCATCACGTCAAATGTTTTCAACGGCATATTGTGCAAATTGGCCTTTTCAACCAAGTGGATACAAAGTACCACGAAGTTGCATTGAGAAGCTAAAGAAATGAGTGGCGTTCGATGAGTAGTCTCTTGCAGTTATTCGCAAACATTTACGAACACCTCGGACACTTAGACCTGGACAGAAGTCACTCGAGAACCTTCTGGGCGACGTTCTATTTTTCCTATTAGGATGTACTAAATGCACCGAACAAACGGATTTGAAGTGCAGCACGGGAACATACAAAGTGAACACACACGGCATTTAGAATCGATAAGGCACAATAAAGTTCCAGAGCAAAGGGTCCTCCCTTCTAAACCTCGGTCTTGCCCACCTTCAAATATTACTTACACTTGTCCCTTCGCCATACATTTCGAGCACTACAAATCTACAGTTCAGTACTGGTTTCTTAAAACGTTCGGTTAGAGAGTACATACCCAGCTTTACGAGGTTATGCAGAGAAAGAAGGGTTGCCAGACAACTCGGAACATTTAAATGAGATCGAATGAAAATGTCATATTAACGTCTTTAACATAGCTTTCAACTTCTGTCCCGTGATTTCCGGGTACAGACTTCCTGCCTTGAGTTCCCTGGCCTGTGCCACTTCCGTTATTACGTATGGCTCATCAACAACTTCCGGTAGTATTTTGCTCACTTCCGGCGTGCACTTGATATAGCTCCGGTTCACACATCACGTCAGAGCACTGGGCATCGCAGTCTTTGCGGCGTGCATTCTGTCTTCGTCAGCCGCTGCCGCAGTACTGTTCGCATAAACCAACTTCTTTCTTTCTTTCGATCCTGCAAAGCCGCGGACGGCTTGTGTGTCTGACCGTTCAGCTAAAAAAAAAAAAGTCACGCGAGTGGACGATCTGAGAGCACTAACAAGAATGCAGTTGCTTGAGAGCTTAAGATTGGAACAGAGACTCTAATCGGTACCCTTAAGCTAGGGTCAAAGTAGCAGCACCGTTGTGGTTTGTAAAATTTAAATCAAGGGCTAACTCGGAATTACAGTTTTGTAGGCCAGTGAACACATAATAACGAACAGTGAAGCTACAAGCTAGCGTTCAAGTACTATAGTTTAATTAATGCCAAGTCAATGTGCAGCGTGCCAATAACTTCCAAAGAAAAAAATACATCGTAGTTGTTGTGCAGACGTCATAGACGTCAGGCATAATTTTATAAAGACGCATTCTAAAGACTCATCCTAAAGACTCATCCTCCTGTGACACGTAGTACGTTTAACTGGTGTTAATGATGGCGCTTAGAGTGGTTGGCTAACTGCAGGTGTCTTCAGCTCGTTTTTTGCTGCATGTGTCTCTTACTGCAGATGTTTTCGAAGCCTGACGAAGTATCGAATACGTCTAGAAGACGTGTTTCTTTGCAACGGTTCTCAGAGGTTTTAGCAGCGTTCCCCAATAAAACACTTTGGATCTGTGGCTCAGTTTTGAGAAGCACTGCTGTAATTTGCGAGGGCGTTCACGACACGGACAATGCTGCTTGCCTCACTTTGACAGAGCGAGAGGTTATCCTACGCATAACCCGATGTCTAGAAAAAACGTGAAAGTGTAGAAAGACGTACTAGAAAACACATTCATTGCTCAAAATGGAAAACATTAATAACAAGTGCGTAGCTTAACAAAGCGTGTATTTAATAATTTTTCCACTTTATCTGTAAATAAAGCATTTCTCTTTAAAGAGGTAGACCTTGCGCCATTTATAAACGTTCATGTGAGCTCTGATTGAGGAGCGAGAATGAGAGAAAAAAATATGTTTTCTTTCAAACACATCGTCGATGGTCGCAACAACTCCGTTGCGAGCAATCTCCTTTCTTAACGACATAATGAGAAGGGAGTTCGTCATTATACCATTGTAAATACTTCACACAAACATAACAGTGAGAGTAAAAGATAAAGTTGAGCACATTTAACGAGCCACTCATTTGAAACAGGCAATTGTTTCATGAAGTGAGAGAAAGACTATTTACCCCCAAATAGTAGTTCGAATTTTTTTTTTGAGGAGGGGGGGGGGGGGGTGTTGGGTTGAAATATAAGACGTTCTAGGCGGCTGTGTTTACGCGTGGCGTTGTTTCAACTAAGTCTCGTCATTTGAGCTGTTTGTTCATAAGCAAGGAGGGCAATGACCTACATTTTCAGCCGGCGAAAGTGCCACAATACCCAGCCTGAATAAAACTTGAATGAAAAAAAGCATTCACTTATTTTGCCTACAATATCAAAACACGTTTTTTTTTACTCTGTTAAATCTGTTATTCTGACGAAGGCTGGTCCCACAGCCGAAACGTAAAGAAAGCTTTCTGTTTTTCGACGTGTGTCTTCTTTTTATTCATACTATTTACCGGCGTCCAAGAATTTATTCCCTGCAAATATATATATATATATATATATATATATATATATATATATATATATATATATATATATATATATATATATATATGAGGGGGCGGAAGTATTCGCATGACATCTTGTTATGCACCTGTGCGGTATAAGACAAGTACGTCGGCGCAAATTGATTGGTGCAAATTTAATTATTGCCGTCATGTCACATATGTTTGAATACTTGTTTTTTTAACGTCTCACTTTCACCAAAAACGCCAGCCCTTCGTTAAATACGCACATCCCAGCTGTGAAAAAAAAAGTGGTCTTATTTATTGTGGCAGTCACACTTGGCTTAATATATACACAATATTGACAGTTTTTTTTCTTAGTTTTTTGAAAATATTTGCTTCGTCAGGAATTCGCAGTTGGGTTTGACTGGACCCTTTAAACAGTTGCAAACGATTCTACCTATGTTGTTTCCTTATCCTAAATATGAACTTTTTTTTGGAACTAACACCTATCTTGTATTTGTTTTTCATCTATTTTTTAATTTTGTATGATGCAAGTCTTCACGTACATCGGTGTTACGTTTTCCCAAAGTAGTCAACATCCAACGGATACTGTGTGTTGACAATCTTTATCTTATGCAGGTGTTAGAATGGTGCCAACTTTCACTGCCAGACGCACTGTGTATACGATGCGGAACTGATTACTTCTTTCTGTGACTAAAGTGTTTTCGTTGAAATCTACGTTTTTATCGGACTTTCGAACTTCTGAATGTGTACCGGGACAGGATATACTTTGTGTGCCTTAGTTCTACAATGCCTTTTACCATTACTATGGTAATTTAGTAGTGCAGAGATTGCCGGCGTGTGCAGGCTTCACCAATATGAGAAGGGGGGGGGGGGTGCGTATATGTTTCTGTCCAAGCAGTCTCCCTCACCCTATGGTAAGTCTGTGAGAAAACCTGCTTCTCAATTGGTGTAAAGGGCAACTATGAGATCCTTCTCTTAACAGCATTTCTTTTGTCAGGGACTTTCTGGGAGTCGAGACGGAAATAAAACAGTCAGGGCGCCGCCTAAAATTAATAAAGGGAAGCGTCCTACCCCCCTCCCCCTCGGTGCGCACGCCTGTCAGCGATGAAGGACGCCATTGGTTAAGAAAACCGATTTCCCAAAGGAATACCTATTGGTGTTATCAAAGCCGCATTGGAAACTCGCCGCAAATCTAAACCATGTTCATTATTTAAGTAAGAGGCAATGAAGAAGTGTGTAACTACAACTCT